AAGTAAACATCTGTTAAACTCCTATCCTAAATTGTCGACATCATTTGCATATTTTAATCAACTTCGTTTAAATTACTATAGTTTTTCCTAATATCTTTTGACGGTTAAGAATTGCATGATGACAGATTTTCATTCAGTTTGTTTTCGATCTCCTCACTCGAATACTTCTAAATAGCTCAGTTAAGTTCTAAATTGGTTAAAATCAGTAAAGACAAGATATAAGCTTAATGACAAAACGGTTAGTCGCCTGAAAAGTCACCTGTTTTAGAGAAATCAATATGTACAGACTCCATCAACTGGACCGGACCCAATTAACGGGCCTTTTCCATTGTCTCATTTGACTTGCATTTTTATTCATTCAAAATATTTCTCTACTTCTGATTGGCTTCAATATTAATTTTCGTAACCTGCTGATGCTGACCAAATTTGGAAAATCAGTCACTCCGACGTCAAGGAATGGTGTACCATGTTGCACGACATTTTTGAAGGGCAGGGGGCGAAGATGACCCTATTGTTTTCCATCTACGTTTCTTGACCCACTCTGTCTGCCAGTGTGACGTCACATAGTAACGGGCAAAAGCCTCGGGTCGCTAGTGCAAATTAGCAAGGGATACCACAGTTATTAGGACGAGCGAGATCGAGGAAAAGCTATTTTTCCTCAAATGTATATTTGAATGCATGATAAATACAGCTCCATCAGCTTCATTCAAACGGCGTCTATGGCAAAGAAAAATGGTTTTGATATAACAATATTAATATTTCAAATCATGTGTGTCACTGTGGTGCAGTGGTAGAGGATTGCTTGCACGTGCAGATATACCGTCGACTCCCGGCGTTCTGTTTCTTTGTACCGTTTTCTTTTTTTCTGTTTGGTATTTGTTTTTTAATACTACTTTTCCTTTTGGCCTGTCTTCCTTTACTCTTACTGCGGACCCTGCTGGTCATGGACTTGGATCAATATATATCTTAAGCTTAAGTCCGGAGTTTTATTTTGGAAAAGGGATTTCAAGAGCTCTTGATCTGCATACTGGCAAAGCGTACGGCCAGAAAAAACCATAACTTGTCAAGACATGCCCCTCTTCTGAAACAGCTGAATAGTAGGTGACATCATGACAAAGAGCACACAGTACACCACAAACTGTACTAGTTTACACCCAACACCCACCAGTGACCCCCTGGCGAAATTAAAACTTGCGTTTTGTACATCGTCTTAAACATCAATATTATTACCCTAAAATCTCCACTGGGCTTGCCCCAAAAAAAATAATTAAACGAAACCTTCTATTGATTTTCGGGATTTAATTACAGAGAATTACAGGTGTATGCCCAGTACAGTATTAAACTGCGATAAAGCAACAAGATTCAGAGCTCACAGTCTCTCACAAATACCTGTCATTTAGCTTCCTCTTTCAACGCTTCAGCTTAGCGAACATTGAAAGGATTGATATGGGGTTCCACTAGCTCTGAAGAGCTTAAAATACGCACAATGTAAAGTATAATAAATCATTTGATAAACCTCCTATTGCTGTGTCTAAATTCCTCAATCTTGCAGTGCACTGACCCTCAAAAGTGTGACCGGTAGGTATGATTGCCTGAAAAACTTGCTCGACGATAGAAAGGAAGCTTTAAAATTCATAACACCACTGGACGTTTCATTCCAAAACATTACTAAAGTCTAGTTTTCTATGACAATAGGGACCTTAAAATCTCCAAATCCAAGAAATCAGAACAGTATTTCCGTAATGAATTCGAAATTTTTATCCGTCTCTCCGATGAACGCTTCGCTCGCCATTTTGAAAATCCCTGACGCGAGACGTGACCTCATACTGGCAGGCGGACTGAAACACCGATTTCCTTGGAGACACCTCCGGTGGTCTAAGGGTGGATTCGTTTGCAACATACGCGTATAGCTGTCGCATTTGCCCATTGGAGTTTTTTATTATTATTATTATTATTCTTTTTAGGCTTAAAACAATAGAAAATAATTCCAGCAGGCAAATGTGGATTGTCCATCCGAAATTAAGACCATTCCATTTTCAAATTAGGATGTGAGGCGACTTATCCAACGGATAAGCCGTCTCAGACTCCGTCACTAGTGTGAATACGGCCAATCTTGGCAAGAAATTACAATAGTCACAGAACCGTATCTCTGAACGTTTTAACTTTACCTGTGGCCGCTGAAGCAACCTTACGTGCTATAAAGTACTCATAGCACGTAACAACCAGTGACAAAAAGTGTACGTGCCGATTAGAAGTCGCTACACAATGTGACTGCCTTCAAAAACCATTTTGTTTTGCAAGCTCCTGGATTTTTTACAGACTATTCATTGCCTATAAGCTCATGTCCTCTCAGAGAACTACTTTTTATATAGTAATAATTATAATTAAAACTTATAGGAGATTTAAAGAACTAACTAAAGATTGACAGAATTCCAGGATGTCGACCAATGGTGTGTAGCTCCTCAGGGAGGAGTACGGAGAGCGACCTAAAATCAGTATTTATGGAGGAGATCCAGGGAATTTGTCGAGGGGTGTACAACTTGTGCACTTTAAAGTTCATCCTCAAGTGTAGGGGTGAAGGGGATCCGACCTTTCCACCCGGATTCGCTTGTTCGTCTAAGTCATTACTCGTCTAAGTCAGTGTGGCGCAAATTTCGCTTTGATGCAAAGAAATTTACTGACCAAAACGTTATTAAACATGGGAGTGTAAATGCTCCGCTACACGCCCCCGCCCCCCCCTAAAAAAAAAAAGGAATTTTTTTCAAAATGTCTTAAAGCCAGAGCTACATGAAATATTCTCTTCCTCAAAAAATAAGAGTTTATTTTATCATTACCCCTGTATTTATTTCTTTTCACATTACCTATTATTTAATGAGATTTACATTTACCACGAGAATTTTGTTTACTAAAGCTTTTTTGTAGAAATTTAAACGCCTTATTTAGCTTATACAGCCAATCAGAATAGAGTACAACTATTTTTACATGCGGAAGTATAACCAATCAACAACAGCGCCGTTCATCGTTTGCATTCAAATGGCTTTCCAGATTTTTCGACTTTTTAGCGGTGCCTCCAAAAATATAGTAACATTTCTTAAAGATCGACCTTTTTTTATTTATTTACACTGTTTTGGGCCACCTCAATTAACCAAACTTAATCTTACTTTGCATGCTCCCTGATGTAATTTGAGATTTTTTTCTCTCTCTTCTTTTCTGCTGCCATTTATTTTTCTGAACGTGACGGTGTTCAACTAGAGAGCTCTTGCTACTTTGAACACTGCGTGCACACATATGTACATTATCACTTTTTAGCCTAATAATTACTCATCATCTAATTTTGTTTCTCTACTACTTGTATGCAAGTTGTGTAAATGCCTTAATATATAGTGTAAAATAAAGAATTGTATCATAGTTACACCAAGTCTCAATAGCCATTTTATAAGCAAACAGGCGAGCTTTTAAAATATCTGTTTTCTTTATTTCAGACGTAACAGAAGCTTAGATTTTGAACTGTTGCATACCGTAAATCCTCTATTAAGCCCCCCGGGGGGCTTATTTTTTCAAGCACTTTTGAGGGGGGCTTATTTAATTTACCGAAACGCATCAACGGGAGCAAGGTTTCTCGAGCACGGACTTGTGGTTCCTGGGCGTTATACTGCTTTTTCTAACAATAAGAAAATGGTAACAATTCTCCACAGATAACTAGAGCGTAAAGTTGAAAAAGTTAAGCACATGAGGTTGGAGGTCATGTGGCCGAAGACCAAAAACAATATGAATTTCCAGCCTGTATAAACCATAACTCATCAGCCCACGTTAATTGTTTGTGAAGACTGGAAAGGAGGGGGAGGGGGGGCTTAACAGAGAGGGGGGCTTATTGACTTTCCTTCTCTTGAAAAGGGCGGGGCTTATTAGAGAGGGGGGACTTAATAAAGGATTTATGGTAAATATGAAGTTTCAGTCGGTGAAATCCAAGGTGACAAGCATACTGAATGACGTCAGAGGTCTCCAGCAGTGCCATATCCCATTATGGCATAGAATATACATGGGCGGGTAGCTCGTCACAGGCTATCTACTAAACGTTTAACCTTGGCAAAATATAATAACCATAACAAAAACCCAAGCTAGTTTTAAGCAAGAGCACGATCATTTTCTCTCCGAAAGTAACAACCGGGAACATCTGTTTCGTCGTTGTTAGGTCTCTGGATCATCAGTCTGAATCAGCTATGGTTGGTAATTAAAAAATTGGTAGTTTCATCTACTGCTTGGGTATAAATATTGTCTGTCCGGTTAACTCTCGCATTTGGAAGTCACTTCAGTTCCGTAACAACTTGTACTGGACTATTTTTCAAAATATAGACAATCTGTAAAGGCAAATAAGATTTTGTAAAAGATTTAATTACAATTATAACAGGGGAGGTTTCTCAATAAACCCACAGGTCTCCCAACCTCAAGAGTGTGAATAATTTCGTGACAGAAGTATTTTAGGGTTTGTTTGGAGATTTTGGCAATAAAAATACATAACATACATCTTGATTTGTCTCCTTGTTATATTCATAGAGTCTTTTTAGCGTATTTGCTCGTAATCCCTCGGCTAGGGGTCTTAGGAGGCCTTATAAACGGAGGGGCATATATTCGTATAACCGGAATAGAAAAAGGGTCTCGAGACAAGCTAGTATTGCTGATCAAAATAAAGCTTCAAAACGTCATGATACACGCAAATGGGATTCATTTCAATGCATTTGAAACAGACGCTACAGGGGTATTGAGGGGGAACTTGCATACTTGGAAATATTTTTTTGTTGTTTACAGGTACAGTGGAACCCGGCTATAAAGAAGTGCCACTGTACCGCAAAACTTGTTCATTAAAACGGGATCTTCGTTATAGCGAAGACCCCGTTATAACGAACTAGCTGATTAACAGCAAAAATATTCGTTATAGCGGGGTTCGTTTCGACATATTTTGCTGTAATTCTGCCGGGCTTTTCGATGTTTTTCGTTTTTCGTTATGTAACTGAAATACTAAAATTTTTCCTTACTTTTGGTAAGAACAAGAGACAAATTGTACACGTTGTTCCTACAAACACGATCGTTCTTTCAATCAGCATTTCAATGGGAGGGTACGTTTCCACAAACATGACCACAAGAGCAAGGCATGAGAACATGAACACGTTATACACCGCCAAACCGGTGTTTTTGGAATCATTTGGCTGCAAGCAATGGACGTTTCTTGTCTCCCACGACAAAAATACTCCAAACGTCAACAAAATTCCTTTTAAACAGCAGATTAACATCACCCAGGTCTTCGGAGAATTGCAGGTACAACTGTTAATCATAAGCTCTTCTATCACGTCGTCGTCATCATTACGTATCTGAAACAAGAATTGTGACATGAGAATCGTACATGACTTGAATTAACAACGTGGACCAGTGAAGGTGAGGGTAACCAAAATGCCCAAGAAACTCAAAAGACAAATAAATAACAATTAAACAAATCGAAGAAAGGCGCAGGGAAGAAGCGGGTATGACAATGTCAACAGCACTTCCGTCACATCAAGTCAGAATGGCATATCGGTCTAAATAAAAAGCGGCCAGCCGTTAGAGCCTGTTTGGGCTTTGCCTCATATAAAATAAGAAATAACTTCCATATGGAATAATTAGGTCTTACTAAAGCCATATTCTTACTTTAGAGAGAAGATGCAAAGTGACTCGGAACTTGGGCGTGAAAGTACTTTCAGTGGGTGGTATTACCAGACAAAAATATAATTTCTTTCTCATAGAACAATGGGTGGCTTTATGAATTTACCTTCTTGTTGATTACTATATGTTGTATCGTCATTGGATCAACAACTGCCCAACATGATAGAATAATTACATCTACAAGACAGCCAACACCTATCCTGAGCAAAAGACCTGTTATACTTAGCTTGGCAACCTAAAAAAAATTGACCGTTTTAATCTTGTTGCTCAGAGAGGGTGGTAATGGTTATGTTTATTGGGGTAGATGATGATGATGGCGATGGTAGTGATGATGACGAAGATGATGATGATGATAATGATGATGATGATGATGATGACTGAGAAAATGACTAAAACAAGTAAGAAGAAGAGATTATCACAAAGAAATTGACGACAACAATGTTAATAAACAGGTCATCACCTAGTTTTTCAAATTCGTTTGATAGCTTTTTTAAAGATTAAAAGAGGGAGAGGCTAGAAGAAAAATAATAATAAAAAAAAACATAAAAATAAAGATAAGAATGCGTTCCTTTAGAATGATTTGGATCAGGATCAGTGATCCGAGATCAATAGGATCATAGTGCATCAAATGAACTGATGAATCCTTTCCTAGCCGAGTGGATTCGTCGGTTCCTTTTATGTGCTATGCTCCGAATGATCTCTGAATCACTGATAGTAATCCAGGCCGTCCCACTGGAAGGCATCTTAACTACTGGTGGTGGTGGGTCATAACGTAACTACACATTATCATCAAATAATGATGATCATAATGTTGATAACAATACTGATGATCGTGATGGTGGTGGTAATTGTATGGTGGTATTTATTGTCCCTACCTCGTTTCTGATTCTATAAACTCTCCACGTTTTTAAAAACATTCCACCATACAGCAACGTAAATCCAGAACAGAGAAGGCAGACGTTAATCTGTTTAACATTAATGAAATCAGGACAAGGAAGTGAGCTTAACTGTAATATATCCAGACAAGGAATTCAAGAACTGACATTGATCCCAGAGATGTTTTATGTTTCCATCCCACTTTAAAAAAATTCATGTGACCTTCACATTCGAAATACGTTCTTGAGGATTTTAGCTTTTGGATTCTAACTCATCACATCACTGGACAAAGCAATTCAGGATAAGTGGTTTTTTTAAAAAAGATGCAAAAAGATGCGTTGCTCTGACACTGAGAACTTTGCGATTATCTTAAGGCTCATTAAATAACACACTTGTAGAATTTTTCTCATTTAAAAAAGGCATAAAAAGGTTGTCACAAAAAGGCAGAATACTGAAGTTTTGGTTCGCCTTCCCAGACTAATCACCGATGTATCTGCATTAATAAAAACTAGTTGTCATTCTTAAAGAGCAATCTTCTCTTGAGGCAATAAAGTCCCGGCTATATTAAGTGCGTTTAAGTTATGCCAGTTCTTACATAGCAGAGAGAAGAGTTGTGCGTTGCAAAGATGGAGTTGCTGTAGGCTGATAGAAACAGTTCGAAGTAGAAGAGAATGCATCCCATCACTGACACATTGTTGAAATTAGGAAATGACATTCTTATAAAGCTGTGACGAGAAAAATTAGCAGAACGTTAGCTTCGCTGTAATTGACACTGTATTGCAGTTACTGTGTTTAGTGCATTTGGACCTTTTTGGACTGTTTTTGTGACCGTTGTCTGTTATTAAGACAGGTTAGTTTCCAGCTTATGGTGCCAAACTCTTTTCGCCATTGTAAATTAAGATAACAAAATATAATCTACGGACATTAATCTAACGTGGAATAAATTAATAGAGATTACTACTGAGTCTTTTGTCGTTTATGCCAGTTTCAGAGATTCCAACCCTCCCGTTTTGGCCGGAAATCTCTTGTTTTCGGCCTCCCGTTTACGTTTAATATTTTCCGGATTTTTAAACTTTTACATTCCTCTTTTTAACCAATCTTTTTGGCATGCTTCTGTGCCGATTTTCTGTGGTATCTCAGCCATTTTTTACCCTTTTAGCATTCGACCATAAGCCAGTGATAATTTTGGGCGCGGCATTTCAATTGACCGTGATCTCAAAACACGGGAAATGCATGGCATCTTAGAGGTACATTTCTTAAAATCTTCCCGGGGGAACATGCCCTCGAACCCCCTAGAGGCTCGCGTCTTGAGCGCTTGTCGTAAAGCGGCTATGCTGCTCCTAAAACCTCCCTTTTTTAGTTGTCAGCAGGGTTGGAATATCTGTACCACAGGCACCCCACGGTAAATAAATCTCCACAGCGGCCACCTTGGGGTCGGATGAAAGTGGTCGTTGTAGACAATTTTAAACAAGAGTCAATGTAGGGGCTACTCGCAATAAAAAAGGCGGCCGTTATAGAGAGGTGGCCGTTATAATAACATGCAAAAAGATAGTCTCTTACATGCCTCTTCTTTCCGACTTTCGTTGTCCTTTCTGTCTAAATTTTAGTTTTCATTTGTGTACCAGAAACCCATAAAAACAAGTTCAGTAAAAAATTTCTCAAACTCATTAATAATTCATAAACAAAATACAAAAGAAATTTAAATGTTTAATGGGTGCATGGAAATCAGATGAAAAACTGGTCATTTTTGCATCATTAATTTCTCCTTCTAAAATCGTTTTGTTTGAGAAGTAATATCAAATATTCGACACAGTGTTTCATCACCAGATGAAACACCTCGAAGTTCGTCAAAAATAATCCGCTGCACGTCGTATTTTCAACTCCCTTCTCAGTGTTTCATCTGGTGATAAAACACTACGTCTCATGCTTGATATATTACATAAAAAATACACAGTCAAAACAATGAATTGTTGTATTGTCAAGTAGGAAATCTTGTAGTTCGAATAAACCTAGTTTTCAGCTTGCTGCCAGTTAATTTTAACAAAGATTTTCCACTCGCAAACACATTTCCATGGCCTTTCGTGCCAATTCTTTCAAATTTCTTTGAAAAAAAGAGAACTCAAAACCACCCACAATGCCTTTCAGGATTGTCGCGTGCACTTTTCCCGACAACCTTTCTCGAAATAGCTGTATAGAGATTAAAGCTTTTGTTGATGCTGCGTTAACTCAGGGTGGATTCATTTGCATACGCGTACAGCTGTCGCATTTGCCTGCTGGAATTTTTGTGCTGTTTTTAAGCCTTAAAACAATAAAAAGATCCAGTGGCCAAATGCAACAGTTCTGCGCGCATGTTGCAAATGAATCCACCCTCATTTTGTTATCTCTCGGCTATCATAGTAGCCTGCGAAAGCATCCGTTTCTCCTCGCTCTTCGCAACTGGGGACGTTTCGCGCGGAGGAACGTCTGCGACTCAGCGGCAGAAATTCCATACTGATGACGCAAATCAATGTTTACATAATAAATCCGGTAGTCATGGGGTTCCAAATACAAATTTGTCCAATTTCACGTGCCTTCTGATCGATTTTGGTAAAGTGTTGTGTTCATCTGCCAACGAGCTCCAGCAAATCTCAAATGCTTCTTCTAGAGAAGAGTATATTCCACAGATATTGACTGTTTTGCTCGAGATTCTTCGCGTTTACATTTGACCTTTGTGGCCTTTTGTCTTTTGTCTGTCATTCGTAAAAAATAGCTAAAACAATGTAACTACTACGTCTACCAATCAGCGCTTCTGACCGGATTCCGGGCAGATTTTACGTCATCAGTATGGAATTTCTGTCGCTGAGTCGCAGACGTTCCTCCTCGCGAAACGTCCCAAGCGGAGAAGAGCGAGGAGAAACGGATGTTTTCGCAGGCTACTATCACAGCAGGAATATACGTTTTCAATTCAGTGTTAGACACCCAATCGCACCAATGAATGAAAGCCTTGAAAGATGCCTTGAAAGATTCACGGAGCTTTCTATAAGACACAAATATCGACATAAGAGTTTAACCATGAAGGAGTCACTGTTGGAAGGTGAACCGCCGATTCTTTAAATACAAATTTATACTGGTAACGTTTGTCACGGGAAATTCCCGTATTGATAGACCTGTCCCCTACCAATTAGATAATTTCTATCAACTGTGATGCAAAACACTCAATTAGCAATTAATGAATTCGGCTTTCGTAGGATATCAAGAATTAAGCAGATCGAGGAGGGTGTTATCCACAGAGGCCGGAATTGATTTACAATTCATTCAAAATAATGTCTAGTTTAAAAACAGCTAAAACATGCTTACCTGCATCGATGTTGAGTTTATCTTCGATAGTGTACGTTCAGGTTTGTCCAGCTCCGCAAATATTCTCCAAATAGCAGATGTTGCCCTCCGAGTT